TGTTTTTGTATAATATTTTTATACAATATATAACATTTACCAAAAAAGTCAAATTTGATCTTAAAAGTTATATTCAACAAATGTTCAATGCTTCATTTATAAACTCTGTAGCTGTTAATGCCATACTTTTCTGCATTTCTTCTTACATGCATGTTACTTTTGACTGTTTTCTCTTGTTTTTAATAAATTTTTACCTTTTGATAGTCATTCTGTGTGTGTAAAAGTGATTTTAAAATGAACAAGATTTGTAGGTTTAATGTCTAGCTCGATTTGGGTTCATTTTAACCTAGCAGTGTAGTAATTTTAAACCATAAAGCAACCCGGCATGCTGGGTCAGACATAACCCAACTTGTTGGGTTAAAACAACCCAAACTGGGTTGTTTTTAACCCAGCAGTTTTTAGTGTATACAACGTGACGGCTCAAGTAGTAAAAATCTTTACTGCGCTAACATTAGAAAAGATACTGCTCATTGAATAAAACATCATGCCTCTTAGTGGTAATATGCAGTTATCCATAAGCTCTACTCTTCTGCACAATGGTAACAACAGAAACTTTTAAATGTCAAATATAACTGAACATTAATAGATGGTTCCCTTTACTCAAAAACACTTAAAGTAGCACTTAATTTCAATATTTACTCTCCATATCCAGCCATATGCAAAGCATGCTGGGAACTAACAATCACCGCCAAAATAAAACCGCAAAATTGAGTTAATTCTCTTAATATAAATAGGTAGCCTTCTTTCCTTAATTCCCCCCCCCCAGTTTAATCCGTTCCTCAATTCAAGTCTCAAAACGGCTTAAGTTTCCTTTAAAAATTAGGAAAACATATCTCTTGGTTTTATTAGTGAAAATTCTCAATATTTTCTATACAACACTGAACCACAATTTCTTTAATAAAATATACACACTATATTTAATGATCACCTTAATTTTTTTAATGAAAATGACAAGACCCATGATTCCTTTTTTACAGTGTTGTAACAGGCGTAAGTCTCCTCCCTATTACTAGACTGTTTATGTACAGGTTTCTTTATTTTCATCTCCTTATGGTTTAACTTTGTTCTTGGCCATGTTAACGCCTATTTACAAGTGGTCAGATCCGTCTTTTTTTTTAATTTTTTTTTAGTCGTGTTAGGATAACATCATCAGTTTCTACACAAACATTCAATAAAGAAATGGTAATATTTCTGAATGTTTACATATATTTCTTAAATATAGGCGATATATACGGGGAAAAAACCACTAGGGGGCGATAGCTATCATCGAGAGTACACCAACTGATGTAGGCCCAGTGTAATGGATGATTACAAAACATTTTGCTGGATACTTTTGCAGCTTTGTTTAGTTCGTAGTTACACACATATATATTTCAAGAACTTTGTTAGGCATTACTATAGTAATGATGACAAAGGCATGCACTAATATACTGACATTTTAATACAGGCTAATGGCATTAATATTTTATACTCTCACGATAAGATTGAGTCTCAATTAGTCAATTTAAATAGCCCTACCTGAACTGTAAAATATTGCCAGAATTTTTCAAGATATAATAGTCTTTCTTACAATACAAGACTGAATTCAGAATTTTTATATGAAATTGATTGTCATAAAACTATACAGCAAAATAAAGCAGCAAATTATACAAAAATGCAACTACATAATTTGTTACATGATGGAAATCTAAGCAGTTCATCAATCTATCAATATACAAAAGATGAATGTAATGCATGTAATGAAATGTAATGCTTCAGGTTTTCCACCATGCCATTTGGACACTCATGTTTGTTCAGTTTCTGTAACAAAATTGAACAGGAATATAAAAATAAAGAGGGTCTAAAAAGAATAAACAGCAAATTGTTCAAGTAGTGGTTGAAATGAAGCGTGCACTTTAGAAAATAACCATCAAATCTGCTCAAATCACATTAATTCAAGTCAAAATGTTAATGATGGAGAACGCTAAATGGTTACTCTGTTATCATGCAATTTATTTTGAATAGTCTATTAAGAAAGAAAGAAAGAAAGAAAAAGAATTAGAATTTTAACTATATATATATATATATATATATATGTATGTCGTCCTCAGATGTAGTTTTAATAAATACTAAATCAAATAAACAAACTTAGAAGTAAAAAAATTAAAGAAAAAATAAGGAAACACACAAAAAAGCAAACACACGCGCTCACACTCACTAAGCTCTCACACACGCTCCACAAACGCCCACGCATGCGCACAGAGAGAGAGAGAGAGAGAGAAAGAGAGAGAGAGAATTTGAATAATCCTTTATTACAAATATAATTCACCACGCAATTAAATTACAATATTCATTTATAAAGAAAACAAACCCAACTCACAAATGTGTAAAAGCCAAATCGCCTTCGAAAACAGAACACAAAGCCTCATTGTAACACCAAATTTCCTCAAAAGAAAGAAGAAAGAAAATCACATTATAAATAGCTGTCATAAATTACAGTAATTGATCAGCAAATATAAATGTATATAAATTCTATTTGAAAAGGTTCAATCAAAAGCACTTCTGGTTTATTTGCTCCAGCTAAGAGTTTCAGTTTCGTAGTAAAATAGGGGAGGCGCTATGAAGTAATGCTTTACTGTGAAGAAGGACAATAGTTCTGATTGGACAGAGTCCATGTACCATCGGGAAGACAGCCACTCCTCTACTACCGCGAAACGACGCGAAAATCTTAATAACCACGTGAATATATAAGAGAACAAGTTCTTTCCAGGCTTTTCAGTTATCCGCTTCCACGAGGAATGTTTTTTTTTCTCATCATACGATGCAGTTTGGATTTTTCCGCCGGGTGGTGCATTTCACGGATTTCCCGCAGAATTAATTTTCTGTAATATCTTGGTGAATTTATTTGAAAGGCTTCACAAGGCGAAACGGTACGTTTATGCGTTTGCCAAGTTGGTGCAACATCTGAGTATGCTTCTACGAGGTGGATTGTGGTTAGGGTCAATGGGGTTGAAGAAAAGAGACTATAATGTAGTTCAGGGTGAGGGGTGTGTGATTGCATGGATCCTTTCAGTTAACGCAGCCCAAATATAAGAATTCATTCAATTTAATTTCGCATATCAACAGGCTGTCAAGAGTAAGTCACTTAAATAAGTAACCACCATTTAAGGTCTATTTTAAAGGAAAGACGTCCAGATGAGCCAGTTTAAGTGGGAGGAAACAGTTTTGTTTAGCTTGGCACCCTTGTTTATTTTGCGCCTGTTTCTCGAAATGATACAGTTGATTATTGGAGATGGTCGTTTTTATAACCTTTATTCTTAAAAATTGGTGAACAGAAAATGTTCATATATTTTTATCATCAGAACTAGATGTGTGTGGAATATATATATATATATAGAGAGAGAGAGAGAGCGAGAAAATGTCCCTGGCCTTTTTCCACTACTGTTAAGTTGTCTGCTCTTGTTTTCTCAGGGAATTGCACAGGAAGGTTCAAGGTTTCCCAGAAACTTGAGGTATTTTTCTGCTCTTATTTTTTGACTGGGTATTGCTTACTTGTCGGTTCCACTGTGCTTTTAGAGTTGTTTGAATGATCGTGTGGGCCTAGTCGCACTTGTTTATATCCCAAGTTGTTATTATGTAACGGGAAATGTTTTGCTCAGTTGATCAAAAATGTGACTTTTTTTTTTTTTTTTTTTTTCAATTTAGGGAAAAAAATATTCGTCCTTTTATGAATTAGCGTAATTATAGAGATTACATCTACAGGCAAAGCTAGGCCTATGTGTTAATTTAATAACACAGGGCTTGACGAAGGTTGTTAAAATGTCACAAAGTCAAACTTCCTGTTTAGTACGAGTGCTTCTGTCCATTGTGCCAGAACACACACACACTCGCGCGCGAGGGAATCAGGTCTGAAAATAACACCATGTTGTGTGGATTACATGGGTTCCTGTCGCATAGACTTAGCATAAAGTTACTAAATTTCTGTGTTTAATTTGTATTTACGTGTTTGTATGTTTGTAACTTTCGTCTTGCTGGATTCGCCAGTTTAGTAGAATATCTGCTGGCTTACGTCGCAATAATAGCCTACATTTTTATAGTTGTTTTTAATTCTTATTTTTAATCATGCATATTATAATTTGTATTATGTGCAATATTTATGTTGGATTCTGACTGTATTGTTTACCTTCTCTTATTATATCAGAACGTGTATCTCAGAAAATTTCCAGTTTATGGAAAAATATCTAATAGGCCTATATAGACTTTGTGACATGCTTTGTGTAGGCCTATACGTTTCTCTGAATACATTACTTTATTCAGTACTATACTCTCAAAAAGAGTATCACAGTGAATTAAAAAAAAAAAGTTAGTTTTTTTTATATGTTAAAACACGCAGAAGTGCTTGAATAGCAGTTAGAGGTCAATGCAAAGTTAGCTACATAGAGCACAACCACGTGACCAGCTTTACATTCCTCCTGTTTGGCCACCCTCTAGTTTTTTTGCAAATGTGTTTCTACACAGACATATGTTTTTTTTAAAAGAAAGCTTTTTCGCAAGGATGTAACTACACTGTAAAAACCTGCAATCGTTAGCTTAAAGAGCTATTTCTACCTGACAGATTTCTACCCATAAAAAATGAGCATTGTTGGTATAAATTAATGTGTATGCTGGTTCAGTGATGGTAAATATTTTTTAATAAATAAAACATAGACTATTTGTTTCAGTGCACATATGATTGGTGGGGACAAAATGGCAAATTTAAAAATACAAAAAAAAAAAAAAACATTAATTGACAACTTTGATCAACTGAATATTGTGGTAACCCAAATAGACAGGCAGGCAAAAGGTTTTTGTAAGTAATTATATGTAAATGAAAATCATTCTGAGAACATCCACATGAAACTTGACAAGTTCTAGATTAAAGCATTCCATCAGTGTGAGAGGGAAATATTAGATTCACTTTATTTAGTAAGGATTGTTTTTTGCTTATGAAGAATACATCATGTAAGCATTAGATTGTACACTCTTAAGAAAAATGGTTCTAAACCGTACCAGAAAAGGGTTCTTCGGCTTGTAACAATAGCAGAACCCTTTTTAGTGCTAAATAGAACCTTTTTATAGGGTTCCATATAGAACCATGCTTTGAAAATGCTATATAGGACCTTAATGGTGTTATAAAGAACCTTTTTAATGATAGTTTTTCATTAATATTAGCATGTTAATATAATTTAATACGAGTGTAGCCTCGGTTAGGGGTTTACATTAAAATAACAATAACCACAACAGCAGCATGTTGTGTGAATTAAGTACGTTTTTATTGACATACAAAATTGTCAGTGCTCTTAACAACAGTCATTCGCTGAATACATTAATTAATGACAATCGACATTGAACATGAATAAATAC